GTTGCTCCACATGGTTAGCCAACCTGTACAGCGCATAAATTTCCCAATCATGAAATTCTCCGGTACGCAACCGTCGACCGGTGTCAAATGATAACCGTCCTGGTGAAGTCAAACAGAACAGTGTGTTCCAAGCTTGAGCTTGAAAAGAATGAATAGTAGGAACTGAACCCAATGTACGGAGTCGTCGACGAACACGAAGAAACAGCCTATCTCCCAAGGGAACAGAAGGAAAATACGTATGATGGTGCTGCATCTTGAGCAACCATCCACAGGCTTTCAGCGACAAAATCTTTGTGATGAAAGGGTGATTCAACGGTGGCTGCCAATGTGAAATCAACAAATGTTCAAACGTCCAGGCTTTGGCATAAGTATCAAAAGATTTCAGCACAAGGATAGTGAACATTTCAAAATCAGAGCGTCTGGCCCAGTATTGGAGGGCGAGCTCTGTGCTCACTGGCATTTTGTGACGAATCTGACGGAGTTTCGCCATGCGGTTAAATTCAAGCTTTGAAGCGCCGATGGACGTAGACCCAATATAGAACCTACCATGCTGATGGTAAATCCACGGAGATTTCGTGGTAGGTTCTTGAGATGGCATCTTGATATATACAACCGCAGCAGTCTCAAAGAACGCAAAAGTATAATTAAACGGGGTAACACCAAGTGTGGCGAGTCTTCGTCGCCACATTTGGGTTCGAACTGTGCAGGAAGGAAATTCATGAAGACAAATTAAATGCAGCAAGCCCAATGCCCAGATTGCAATAGACTTCGCTATGGCAGGAATCTGGTGAATGACACGAATGAAAAACTTCCTTAAAAGTGCTATGTCAGCCATCACTGTCTGTGGTGGAAGCTGACATTTTCCCTGTGCCAGTCAGGCACTCATCGCAGCACCAATTGAAATGACTTGAATGAGGGATTTGGGGGTGAGTTTAAGAGCATCACCCACAGGGATCCCATACTGCGCGGCGGCAGTCTGAAGGCGTTCTTTGCCGTAGCGCTGCTCTTGGAGCAACTCGATGATCTTTTTTGCCATTCGTCAGAAGGACCAGTGGTGCTTACCAAAGGGTGGGATCGCAAGCTTGGTGCCTTGGGCTCCAAGACTTGGTCCGGAGACATTGTCATGGCAGCATCTTCTTGAACTGGTGCTCCTGACGGGGCAGATGCTGCAAACATTGCCTGAAGAGACCGCTGTGTTGCGCTGGTCTTTGCTGATGGTTGAGTTTTTTGCCGTTTTGGAAGGGGAGGGTCAACAGGAACAGAACACGAAACATCAGAATTGAGTTCAGGGGTTTCAGCAGCAGGCAAAGGAACATTAGAAGGTCGAGTGCGGTCAGGTGTCACCTCATACCAGCACGGCGTAATTTTTCTTGAGCTGCGTGCAACTGCGCTTGCATGTCTTGCAGCTGTCTCATGGCCACGGTGTCCTGCTTGGCAGGAGCAACCTGTGCGATTCCATCAAGAAGAACTTGAACCAATGGTTGCATGAAATCACAAGGACGATCAACTTTGCTGGGGGGTGACACGTTGGGATTGTTCTTGCGATGCAGGCTTTCAGCAACAGCATCGATATCGTGACCAGCGTCACGTAATCCTTTCAAAAACTGGGACAGGAGCACGGACTCGGGAATGGATCTGGCACAGACGATCCCAACGAAACGACCTTCGCTTAGAGCTCTAAGAGCAAACTCAGCTGCACCGTGGCGCGTGAGCAATCCAATGGGCACTGTTAAGGGATTAGTCCCTGACAGGCCGCGTTTTCTTGACCAGGCGGTTGGCTGGATTACTCTGAAAAAACGATGACCATAAACAAGGGTCTCATCAAAATGGGTGGATGTTTGCTGCCAACTGCTAGGAATATCAATTGCTGGATGGGCCACTTCTTGAGGGCCGCCAGATTGATTCCATGAATTACCCGGATCAGAAGGGGAAGTCCAACTGTTACGCCACTGATCTTGGGAATGCTGCCAAGAAGAACCGCGGTTCCAATACGATGACATGGCAACACACACTGGAGACAGGAGGCGTCAAAGCGGTGAGTCACAAAATTGGGCCAAACTATAAAAATGAGTAGGGTCAATCATACGAATCAAGTTGATCAAAAGGCTTAAATTAGAAGAAAAGTCTATGAGCTTTGTTGGAATGATAAAAACAGCAATACACAAGCAATTCAGAAACCAGATCCAATACGCACAGTCACTCCGTGGTGGTTTATGTGCAAATGTACGCAACGCGATGTCCAGGCTTGTGATTTGGCTAAATCACATTCGGAATTGTAAAAACGAAGTTGACATCATGCAGAACATGAAGGTACAAACAATCAACACGTTCTATTTTTTATCGGAAATCAAGGTGACGAGCAGTACCTTGCACGAATTGTTGGACAGAAAGATATACATGAATTTTGCCATTTCAGCAGACTGGACCCATTCACAGATTCAAAAGAACAAAACCATACAAACAACCGACCAAAACAGGGAAAACGAAAGCAACGAGTTCACAAACCAGTTGGGTCTTCTGCTTCCATCTGAAAGGCTAAGCCCTGGACTTTGTGCGTGGAAGTATTTACCACCCAGAGGCGACCACTCTTATGATGGACGGCCCCCCCTTGAAGTGTTTTCTCTAGACAAGCGGCTTCGCCTCCAGACTTAATTACCTGACCATCGCCCCAGCCTAGAGCAAGTACTACGACATTAGAAGAATTTTTGTTGGCGCACCAGGCATGATGGACAATGCGGGAAAGCTCAGCTCTGTCCCACTGGATATCTCCGGTCCTCTTGGCTCCCAGGCTGAAAAATGATTGGCTATAATCAAAACGCAAGCGACTGGGTGCTATAGCACCATCCTTTAGGATGCCTTTGAGGCCTCCAGTACTGGTAGAGTGCGCGAGTTGAACATGAATCACTTCAGCAATATTCAAAGCTGGAGCTGCACGAATAGGGTCAGGAATGATTCTAGCCGAAAATTGACCTCTTAAAATGTAATACTTTTTAACGGTGAGGTCCTCGGCATGGGACTCATGATATTGCGGATCATAATTCAAAATCCTGAGATCAGTAAGGGCCTCTGATGGGATACCAGAGTCATCCAGAACTCTAGCCAGATATTTGACCATAGAGTCCCAGATAGGATGGTTAACATCCTGGTGTTTTCGAAACCAAGCACTGAGAGCTGACTGATTTTCAGTCACCACCAACTCCTCGCTGAGTGGCGGAGGAGGTGGTGGAGGTAGGTTTTGTGGCCTGATGGCATTCGTCAGGCCTCCGAGGTTCGACTGAAACACATTAAATGGTGTCACTGGCTGGGTCGGAGAATGTGGAAACGATGGAAATGCATCTACAGCATGCACAGAATACAATGGAGTTTGCCAAATTCCTTCGGCATCCCAAGTGCCGGGTGGTCTTTCCACAGGTCTTTCAGATCTGATGGATGCGATGCTTGAAGCTCTATGAGCACTATGAGCTGGTGACCTGGATCTACCTCTAGAAGATAGCGATCTATCTCTGGCATTCGATCGTGCTTCCTTCAAAATGATGGGCGCACGGGACGGACGAGGTGGACCTGGCGCAACTGAAATTGGCGCAGCTGGCAATCTCGGTCGTGCTGCAGCTGCAGCAGGTGCCGAATTTGAAAATCGTCCAGGTGGTAATGGGGGTCTTCGTGGTGCTGACACATCTGGTTGAAAATGCGAAGATGAAGCCTGCACACTAGCTATCACTTCTGGAGTCGCTGGGCGCGGGGAAGAAGACAAGGTGCCAGAAGATCGAGACAAGGTACCAGCAACAAAATAGATGTTGTAGGTAGGCGGAGACTGCTTCGACATGGCAACGGCAGAAAGCGCAGCTAAAATACTGTGTACAGGTACATGTCAAACAGAAAGTGCAAGTGCATGCCGAACAGTACCAGATGATGCTGATGATACTTGTCATGAAACTACATTCATGCCTGATTCTCAATTTCATTCAAGCAAATCAATTTCATTCGAGCAAATCAAATGGTCATGCGGGAAGAAGGATACTTAGCTTCCCAACATCAAATAGAAGTTTCATCTCAAAGAAAGAAACGAAAGATTCTTCAGAATGCCTGTCTGAAAGCAGGGTTCCAACCACATGAACATGTCAAGGGCCAACTTGTATTACTGGAAACCAAATCATGGAGTCACATGGACTCCGATTCAACTCAAAATCATGGAGTCATAAATACTCCGATTCAAGTCAGGGTCATTTCAATTGTTCATTTCAGAAGCCTGGAATCCCAGGATCACGACCGGACTATGACAGAAACTCGGCCGAAATACACACTGAGTCGTCAGCTTGTGACTAGGTCATGCTCTATTGTCGATTTCGTTACATCTGACGATTGTGGGCATCAAGCCTGGCGGGATCACTTGGCTTTATGGCGCTACACTTACTTAGGCCAAGCTAACCCAGTGGAACAGCAGGAAAAACTCGAAAATTCAAATGGTGGATGAAAATCACCAGAACATGAGCAAGGGTGGTTGTAAGCTTAGCCACCATGCTATTCAGATTGTGAAAATTGTTCCATGCCGTCCTTGCCCTTGGAAGACAGGCAAGCTGGGAAGAAACAACACTTGTCACAAATTTGTGTTGGCATGGTGGCATGGAAACAATGAAAATCGTGCATGCAAACAGGTACGTTTTCACAGCATCTTGGATGGGTCTTCATTGGCCCATGCCATCCAAGTGCTCATGGGCCCCCTGTTGATGAATTACGGAAGAATGCGCTGCACTGAAATGAAAAGACTCTTAGAAACAGAGCTAGACACACACACACAGACTCACACTCACACTCACACACGGAAGCACCAAAAACGCCCGGAGCCAAGCCACCAAACATGCTTGCGTGAGGGTATGGGTGTGGATTGACATGTTCAACTTACACATCATTCATTGGTTGGGGCCTCTAAAAAAAGTAACAATCGGAATTTCCCATGGCCACCCCCTACTCCATGCTGATTTGTGCCCCGTTGGGCACGGCTCCTTGCCCTTCAAGAAGCTGCCAGATCCAGACAACCTGAGAAGCGGTGGCAAAGAAAACGGAGGCCAACGCCAACGCACCTAAAACAACCCGGCGGGTGGAAAATCGTACCCGCAGCTTTTCGATATTCGGATTGTCACGCGCACATTGTCACATGGTCTTTACCATGTTTTTGAAGCCTCCATGATCTTTTTTGTTGCCAGCTTGTGCCCCTACGTTCTGTGATTTCTAGTGCGGTTCGCAGGCCAGAGTACATCTTTCCGCTTTCAAAAAACGGTCCAATTTTGAGGTGGCGCGTTGTAAAACTGTGGCGCCATGACGGTTTTCGAGACGTTCTTGTCTGTTGTGACTTGTGGAAAGATGATGAAAGATGTAGCACCAAGAGAATTTTGGACTTTCTTTCAAACTACTATTATGAGCGTAGCATCAAGAGCGTGTTGGAATGTGTTGGAACTTACATGGAAAAAAGTTAGAGCATGTTCGAGCGTAGGTTCAAGCACTTTTTAGAAATTCTTTCCGAATGTTGAGAGCGCAGCACCCAGAGCGTGTGGGAAGTGCCAAGGAGATGAGAGTTGGGAGCGTACTATCAAGAGCGTCTAGAAAGAATTACAGGCGATAAAACCTTATTACGCCCCCCCCACGCCACCCAAAGAAAACACCCCGGGACAACATCACACAAAACCTGATAATCCACGAACCCAAATGCATTTTTTAAATGAATGCATAAGTAGGTAAACACAAAAAACAAACACTGAAGATATGCTGAAAGCATCTGAAAACCATATTTACTTTGCGGACCTCACTCTGCACTCTGCAGTCTGCAGTCCACGCGTTACACTGGACAATCCCCAAGGCGAAACCGCCCGATCAAACACATGCTGTAGCAGCAAGACTCTTGCACTCTACGCTGTGCACTTCGCACGCAAGGTGACGCGCTCTACACTCTAGACTCCACACTCTACACTTCACATTCGGCACTACACACCACAAACTCTTCACACTACGCGCTCCACACTCCACACACCACGCTTTACCACTCCACGCTACACACTTTGCACTCCGTGCTCCACGCTCTCCACCCTTCTTCACGCCAGACCCCACACTCCACACTCCGCACTCCACACTCTCCACTCTGCATTCTACAATCTCCACTTCACTCCACATTTCGCGCTGTCCGCTCCACACTCTCGACGCTCTCCGCGCTCTCCACTCTCTACTCTCTACACTCTCCGCTCTACACTCCTCACTTTGAACTCTACACTCCACACTCTACTCTTTACACTGCGGACTCCGAACTCCACACTCTGCTCTTCACGCTCGGCATTCCACACTCCACACCCGACACTCTCCACACCCTCCGCACCCTCCACACTCTACACTTCACACTCCACACTCTCCTTTCCACCCTCTACACCCAGCACTCCACACTTGACAGTCCACACTGGACACCACACACTCCACACTCTACACTTGTCGCTCTCCACTCCACACTTCACACCCTCCAATCCGCACTACAGTAGTTGTACGTAGTTGTAATGTAGCGTAGTTGTAGTTGTCTATCTATCTGTCTATCTGTCTATCTGTCTATCTGCGTGTCTGTCTATCTATCCATCTCTCTGCCTATCTGTTCATCTATCTGCAAGTTACGAAGCTATTCTGCGAGATTTCCTGAATTTTTGAACTTGGCAACATCAAAAACGCAGCAATTCTGCGAGACTTCCTCAGTTTTCGAAGTTGACAACATAAAAAACGAAGCAATTCTGCGAGACTTCCTTCAAAAATGGAAAGTTGAGTGCAGAGCTGACGGCCTCGTACCAATGCGTTTTGCGATTTTCCAGTCCATGTCTCTCAAGTATTGCGCCTGCCACGAAAAAGTGAAGCCAGGTCATACGAAGTGCTGCACCTGTCATGCAAAATCATCTTAGCAAACCTGAAGATCTCACGCTCCAAAATGCAACCCCTCTAAGGAAATCTCTGCCCTGACCTCCTAACATCCCTGATGAGCATGTCTCTTGTATTGCGCCTGCCAAGCGAATCAAATGTCCCACGCCTGCCAACGTTTTTGGACATCACTTACAAAGTCTCACACTACCAGGCTACTATAGAGACAAGGAAGACACTCTCCTTTTCTTCTCTCTCATCTGAAGCTCTCCGAGCCAACGGCTAAGTCCAATGAACCTGCGCGCTGCAGGATTTGCCTTGGGTCGCTGCAGCCTCGCAGCCTGATCAACGCAGTAGTTCCCTGCAGTACCCATCCCTGGTCGCTCCAGGGATGTGTCTGACAACAGACTAATCCCCATCCCTGGCCACTCCAGACCTCAGACAATGTCTCTCGTAACTATGAGGAGGCTAATGTTAAACTCAAAAGCCCTTTGTATCACAGAGGCCCCCCGAAACACGCTGATCAGCGCTACTAGCGCGGACCCCTGCTGAGCCTTCAAGGTTCGAGGGAAAGCAACTAGGCCACCCCCGAGGTGGGTCCTGGGTGGGGAAACAAGAAAAATCTTGCTATTTTGGAAGCCAAAATATCAAGAGAATGAGAACTTGATAAATGATTTGTAGATGACACCGTGGCTTGCAGGCTGTCCGGGGCCATAGCACGCTTGCCCCAGCAGGTGGATCCACATGCTCGCCCTGTCTGCAGCACCGCCGCGCAGAGATGCTTGTTGCCACACGCATCTCCTGCTTGGCAATGATCCACGTTGGAGCCGGCTCCGTAGTTCTTCAGGAACTCTGTGAGGAGGAAGTTCTTGAGCTGCGCAGGCATCAGCTCCTCCCCCTGGGCTGGTCCCTTCGCCCTACGGGCAGCCGCAATGGCTGTCAGTTCCCCTGACTGATTGAACCTCTGTCAGTGGTGATGACCAGACCACGTGCCGATCTCTTGCCACAGCCTTTGTCCACCTCAGCTCGGGCCTTGGCATCCGCCGCTTTGAGCACATCCTCTAGCACCATGCATGCTTCATAGGTCGCCGGTTCTGCAACCAGGTTCAGCACATGGTGCTTGCCACGCATGGATTGCGTGTAGCGCGCAGCATTATAGTGCAGAGGCATTGCAGCTTTGGAGGAAGAAACTTGGCTTTTAACGAGATCTTCGGGGTCGAGGTGCGACATGTGGCCTAACGTCGGCGCAAGACATCTGTCTGAAGGAGTACGACGTGAGGTTCTTGATCGGTTCCACCAATCCTTGAAATGATGCTGGGTAGCCTTTGCAACGTCATCCAAGGAAAAACGGGTACCTGCGGATCAAAAACCAAACCACAGTTCGCCTTCTTCTCCTCTGCCAGGCTGGAATAACTCTCCAACCAACCCTCTACCCAGCTAAAGCCGTGGTGTACAGTAGAACCCATCTTGGTTCTGGGCTTGCTTACCCTGGCAGCAGAAGGCATGGAAGGAGCTCATGGTGATCTTGCGCGGTGTGCTGTGGTACTTCAGGCATCCAGCACCCCACACGACCCCAACAAAGGCAGGGTCACACACTCGCTGCAACTGCCCAATCTTCTCTGCCAGGTAGGCCAACATAGGCGGCTCCAAGACAATCGCCTGCTGGTGCTTCTTCTGCGTCTTGTCTTTAGGCTCCGGAGCCGTTTCCTTGTCCAGAGGCCACCCCTGCAGACGCCCTTGATTTCTGAGCCGCCTGAGCGCATTGAGGGCCCTCACCGGCGCTTGAGTCCCATCATGAAGAAAAGCGTCGACATCGACAGCCTCCGGGGGTATAGATCCTCCCTCAGGGCCAGATGCTCCTCGAACTCATTCCAAGTCCGCAGCGCATTCACGATCGTCGATTTGTCGCACTTCGTAACCTTCTCCTGGGCTAAGCGCCTCAAAGACTGGGACCACTCACTCATCAGCTGCCTTGACATAGGTGATGTGGACGGCCTCATCACTCCCATAGCTCTGAATGCATTAGTCAGCATGTCGACCCTCTGGATGATCTGCTCGGACGCTTCTTTCCCTGGGGCCAACCTCGCTACTGGCCTCTTGACTGGCGCCACATAAGGCTTGGCAGGCGCAGGTCTAAACGCTGACGATGATGGTTCCTCCATCGCCGCAGCACCTGCTGACATCAGGTTCTCGTCCTGCTCCAAGCAAACACGTGCCCACTCTTGCCCAAGGAAATCCCCACCGGCAAGGACCGCCTCCTCGAAAGAGGAAAATGCCTCCCTCACCCGGGCATACCCGGGCGGCTTGCACCTGAGCCAAGCTGCTTGCGGCATCGGGCTCAACGCCTCCAGCTTCCACCGCATAGCGCCCCGGTTGAAAAGCCATGGCTGCCACTGCCAGGGCTATACCGCTTGATGCGCAAACTTGCGCCATGCCATACAGATCCTGGAAACTTCACCAGCGCCATCAAGGACCGAACCAAAACGGGGGGAAGAGAGGGAAGACCTGACTGAAGCGACCCTCTCATATGGCATCTCGGCTGTGCAGGCCCCTCCAAAACTTGTAGCTCATTGATCCATGCAGCACTCGACTTCGCAAGTGTCACAAGTATCCCACGTCGGCACTCCACAGGGCCTGCACATGGGTGGGATGTAGTCTTCGCCGGCCTCCACTGCCCCAAGCAACAATCTCCACGAATGACCTGCTCGCCACACAATGTTGTTGCCCCTGTCAATGGCATCCGTCGAAAACCAAGGCTACACCCAGACGCGAGACCGTCCTTGCCAATCTTTCCAGAGCTCTACAGTTAGCAGCGGGAGATCCTCTCCCCGCAGCTGAAGAGCCCATGGCGCCCGCGACAGAACATCAAAGCGGCCAATCCGGTCGAGCCACCTCTCAGGCAGTGCGTCGACTGCCGCAGCTTGGACCAAGACGGCCCGACATGGGACTGAATGCGAATCCGGGATCCAACCTTCATCCATGCCAGGGGACACTCCACAGAGCAACGTCTCGACAACCAGTCCCCACACCACTCGAACCTCCCCAAGTCTCTCTTGGGTGAGGAGATCCACCATGTCGATCCATGCCGCAAGGTGCCACCGGAAAGGCCATATGCATGGTCCCTCCACGCCCAAGAAACAAGAAAAATCTTGCTA